CCGTATTAAATAGATGAGAAGGAACTTAAAAATAAAATTCTATGAAAGCATGGTGAGTTCCCCTGATGAACTTGTGTTTAATGTCTTTCATCAGTCAAGATACTTATTTCTAGGGCATGGAGGGGGGTCAGGGAAATAGCTTTGCCAGGCTTTTTTTTAGCTTTCAGGAGTGTGAGCAAGACTGGCTGGAGAGCCCTGGAGCCTGCCAGAACAAGGTCGCTTGGCACAGGAGGCTCAGGTTTATCAGCTTTGCAGGTGCTTGGCAGGGTGCTGAGTCCATGCAGGGAGGTGGTGAGGCAGGATGAGCAGGAAACTGCAGATACAGAGATGAAATAGGGAATTCTGTTGAAATTTGGCCACTCACTGTTAAAAACCTACAATCTGCTTACATTTCTCTAATTTGAAAGTCATATTTGTATTGCATAGGAGAGTGTGTGTGTATGTGTGTTTGTGTGTGTGCTAATTTATTCTGTTTACTGGGGAGGGGCTGGCATAAGGAAATGCAAACAGACTTCTTAATATAGTGAGTTTTTCCCAAATAAACCACCCTTACTTCTCAGGTAGAAATTATTTTTGGATGTATGCTCATGGGTAATTGGCCCAGTTTTATTTAGAACAGAACCTCATAGTTGGTGATGTGAACAGAGCCTATGCGTGATGCTCTGTTGAAGTAAGGCTGCTCCAGGCCCAGCCCACCTGAGGCTGTCAGAGCCTCCCCCATCTGGACCGATCTGGCCTTTTCTCCCTGGAATTGCAATCCTGCCCTGCAGTTCCATCTGTGGGTTCCAGGTATTCTGACTGAGGGTGTAACTTTACCACGCTCCCTTCCCTTCTGCTGGTGAGCCATTTAAGCCAGACCTGGGGGTGCTGGGATTCAGATGCTGGCTTGCTGGCTGCTAAGGCTGGACTGTAGGATGGACTGGGAGGGCAGCCAGTTCAGGGCTCTTACCACTCCCCCCAGTCCAGCCCTGGGGACCCCAGGGTGGGAGCTGTGTCTGTAGAAGAGCTCCTCATCCTTCCTGAGCAAAGGCACCAGCCTGATGCAGGCCCCCTGGGGTGGAGCCCACGTCTTCAGGCACTGCACCGAGAAGCTGTGGGTGTGGGTCACTGCAGGCCCATCCTGGAGAGAACTCGAAGGGACTGAGTTGCCTGCATGCAGCACCTTCCCCAGTCTTACCAGTCAGAGAAATCATGCCTCCCACCTTGGGGAGGAGGATGAGGGCAACGAGGAAGAGCAGATGGCTTTCCACAGGTCTTTCCAATACCAGAAATTCCATTTAATGAGTCAAGATAGGAATGCTTATAGGAGGAGATGTTTCCATTTGTTCATCTACCATAAAACAGCAGCCTTTCCTATTGCCTCTCTCTCCAAATCCCAAATCCAAGGATAATTCTTTACCACCCCCTGCCTCTACACCTTGTTTGATCAAAGCCACACCTAGCATGTGTGTGATGTTCCATGGAGTAGGTGACAGGTTTTATTCTTCACAGAGCATTTGACCAAGTCTTTCAAGACACCCTCTTGGCTGTTGTATATGCATTGCAGCCCTGAACAACAGTGTGAAAGGAGGGTGTCACCAAGCAAAGATCTCCTGCCATATATTTATATAGGTTATTTGAACCTAAACCCAGGTTTTTACAGCCGATTAGAAAACCGTGCTCAATGCAGCACCATCATTGTGAGGGATCAGAGCTTGGATTTCCCATAATAGTTCTTCCTGGTTTGGGTTTGTTCTTGTCTGTGAGGATATTTCAGATTTTTTTTTCATATATTTAATCAACACCGATACCTACCAGCTATTGAGTACCTGTTCAGTGCCATGTCTAAAAGGTACATCTGGGGGCTCTTAGTGGCCACTAACTCAGGTGTAGCCACCATTGCAGTGTGGGGAGCAGGGCAGACTTGTCCAAAGTGGATTCAGGGAGACACAGGTGCAAACATATATACACACATACCAATTGTGGGTATACACTTGGCAGTAGAGCAGCTGGCGTACAGATGGCATTTGGGAAGTATGGACATGCAGTGTTGGAGGGTACAGTGGAAGGCTGAGCTCTAGATCGCTGGGGCATCCAGATGTGGCTCTCTCCGTCAGCACATAAAGCACTGGTGATGTCCTCCCCAGCTAGGGCTCTTAGGAAGCCCATGGATGTGCCTCTGCCTTGGGGTCCCCATGGGATTAGGGCACTGCCCTCCAACCAGAGCAGCTCCACTTTTATCTGCTTTATACAGGTAGCATATGTGTGGGAGTGGACGGCTGCATGTATGTCTTGCCTCAGTGGTTCTCATTTAGGGGTACTCTTGCCCTGAGAGAACATTGACAATGTCTGGAGACATTTTTGGTTGTCACAACCTGGGGTTGGGGGGTGAAGATTGCTACTGGCATCTAGTAGGTTAAGGCCAGGGAGGCAGCTAAACCTGCAGTGCACAGGACAGCCCCCCAACAAAGATCGACCCCACCCCAAATGCTAGTAATGGCACAGTTGAGAAACCCTGGTACATATCCATACATATATAGGGGGCAGGAGGATTCTGTGCGTGACTTACTTGTTAAGAGTCTAGGAACAAAATTAGAAAACTAGAATTTTATAGTACATCTGGAAAGAAACACCTGGTTGCTGAGAGGTCCCTTAGAAATGGCAGGCCAGAGTCCCCTGTGCTCAAGGATGGAGGAGAAGCAGTCTGGGGAGAGGAGGCACCATCCATCCAGACAAGGTGTCATGGGTTCTGTGTGGCTGCAGCCTAACAGGATGATGGCACAGGATACAGCATACCTGTATGGACCTTCTTCCAACAAACATAAGATAGATCCCTGCATTTTAACACAGCAGTGTTTCCCTGGGTGGAAATAGGCTTGTCCTCACCTTTTACATCTTCCCTGTTGGAGGACAGATTCTTTAAAAACTTAAAAAGCTCCAAAAAGACATCCCCTCTCCCCATCCCTTAGCTGACTTTATTCCTTGGTATTTAAAAAGGAACCAGATATCAATTATACCTCAGTAAAGGAGAATTTTTTTTTAAAAAAAGAATCGAGTAAAGTAAACTCAAAATGGATCAAAGAACTGAATGTAAGTCATGAAACCATAAAACTCTTAGAAGAAAACATAGGCAAAAATTGCATGAGTATAAACATGAGCAACTTTTTCCTGAACACATCTCCTTGGGCAAGGGAAACAAAAGCAAAAATGAACAAGTGGGACTACATCAAACCAAAAAGCCTCTGTACAGCAAAGAACACCATCAACAGAACAAAAAGGAATCCTGCAGTATAGGAGGATATATTCGTAAACAATCTATCTGATAACGGGTTAACATCCAAAATATATAAATAACTCATGCACCTCAACACCCAAAAAACAAATAATCCAATTAAAAAATGGGCAGAGGACCTGAACAGACACTTCTCCAAAGAAGAAATTCAGATGGCCAACAGGCACATGAAAAGATGCTTCACACCGCTAATCATCAGGGAAATGCAAATTAAAACCACAATGAGATAGCACCTCACACCAGTTAGGATGGCCACTGTACAAAAGACAAACAACAACTAATGCTGGCGAGGAAGTGGAGAAAAGGGAGTCCTCCTACTTCCCACCTACTGCTGGTGGGAATGTGAATTGGTTCAACCAATGTAGAAAGCCATATGGAGGTTCCTCAAAAAAACTAAAAATTGAAGTATCATCTGACCCAGTAATTCCACTCCTAGGAATTTACCCGAAGACAACAAGATCCCTGATTTGAAGACATATGCACCCCTATGTTTATTGCAGCACGATTTACAATAGCCAAGATATGGAAGCTACCTAAGTGTCTATCAATAAATGAATGGAAAAAGAAGAGGTGGTACATATATACAATGGGATATTATTCAGCCATAAAAGGAAAAGAAATCCTACGATTTGCAACAACATGGATGGAGCTAGAGGGTATTATGCTCAGTGAAATAAGCCAGCCCGAGAAAGACAAGTACCAAATGATTTCACTCATATGTGGAGTATAAGAACAAAGCAAAGCAGAAGGAACAGAACAGCAGTAAACTCATAGACAGTGAGAAGGGACTAGTGGTTACCAAAGGGGAGGGGTGGGGAGGGAGAAGGGGATTAAGGGGCACAATAATTTGCAATCACAGTATAGGTTGGTCACAGGAATGGTAGTACAGCACAGAGAATATAGTTAATGATCCTGTAACATCTTACTTTGCTGATAGACAGTGATTGGAGTGGACAGGCTGAGGACTTGATAATACGGGTAAATGTCAAATCACTGTGTTGTGTATTTGAAGCCATCATAAGATTGTATATCAATTATACTTCAATTAAAAAACATTAAAAAAAACTGAGAATCTTGAAGACATAATGCTGAATAAAATAAGCCAGCACAAAAGGGCAAATCCTGTATGATTGCATTTCTGTGAGGTACCTGGAATAGTCAAATTCCTAGAGACAGAAAGCAGAAGGTTGGTTGCTAGGGGCTGGGGACAGGCAGGAATAGGGGGTTAGTGTTTCATGGGGACAGAGTTCTGGAGCTGGATGGTGATGGTTGCAGCACAACGTGAGTGTACTTAATGCCACTGAATTGTATGCTTAAAAATTGTTAAGATGGTAAATTTTATGTTGACATGAAAAAAGAAGGAGCCAGCTTGTCCACTGACATATGCTGAAGCCAGATCTAACCCTGCTATTCACCTAATGAGAAGAAGTGGGGAAATAATTATCACTCCATCCTTAGGTTGTCACCAGACTTAAATGAAATTAGGACATGGCGTCACCAAATGGGCTTCCTAAAATATTGTCCCTTCCACCAGGGACATCTTCTAGGTACCATATGTTCCTATTAGGGTAATAGTACTTCTGGAACTTCTGAGTGTGTACCTAAGCCTAACATTTATTCCTCTTGAAGGATGAAATTTGTTCAACTTTTTGGAACCAGGCATCTTAGGAATAGAGGGTTCTGTGTTCAGGCCCAGTAATCATCTTCTGGCACATTTTTGCTTTTCCAGGACACCTTCAAAAGCATATCCACAGTCTCCAAAGAATGTGAAGCCACCATACCCAGGGTCTCCCGTGAAGTACCGCTTTCCCACCGTTCCCAGCCAGGAAACACCCAAGAGGAAGGCAGAGAAAGAGAAGAGCAACAAGGAAAGGGAAGGTGCCCTGGCTCAGCAGGCGGCTGGCTCACATGGAGGGGAAGTCCCAGAGAAGCATGTGGCGGACAAGCATGTCACTGAGAAGCACGCAGCCACCGGAGGAAAGGCCGAGAGCAGTGGAGGTAGGCCCTCCTTGCTAATGACAGTGCCCCAGGCCTTGGCTTTTCTGAGCTGCTTCTCCCTCTGACCCAATCTGCATGGTGTCTCATGTTTATTAGGGCAGAGGGGGGATTTTTCCCTGGGACAACTTCATGCCCCCATGCTGCTTTCTCAGGCTTGCACATTGTCCTTGAGACCTGCCCCTCTGTCTCTTCAGAGTTCCCTGGAGGAGGAGACGACCGGGCTGATGCTGCTCATGGCTTTGCTCATGTGCTGCGTCCAGCTAGCCTTAGCACATCCCACAGAAGGGGTCTTCCAGTAGTCCTGTAAGCTTTTGTGATGGATGCAGTGAGTTCACCCAGATGGGCACAGTGGTGGTGGCTGCTGTGGGACGTGATGGCAGCCTTGTCCTCTTCCTCACCTCCCACTCCCCTCCTCTGTGAAATTCAGTCAGGGTCGCATCCAGCCCATTGCAGCCTCCCTGCTCTATGGCTAACTGTGCCAACAATACTGGCAGCATTTCCCATCACCCACTGGGTCGGACATTTCATTGCCAGGTGGCAGCTGCCATGTGAGGGCAATCAGTGTTTCATTTGCTGTGACCTCTTCCTCTGATGCACCCTCAGGGAAGCCTGCAGCAGGCACCACTGATGCAGAAGAGGCCGCGAAGATCCTGGCTGAAAAGAGACGACAGGCCCGGCTGCAGAAGGAGCAGGAGGAGCAGGAACGGCTGCAGAAGGAAGCACAAAATAGGTATGTGGGTGCTCAGAGTTGCATCACCATCTTGTATAAAAGGCTGCAGTGGGAAGAGCTGCTCACTTTCCTTCTGGAGTTTCAGTGTGATACACGCTCAGCAGCAGGAGAAGTCTGCACAGCAGGTGTGCAGGGAACTGTGTCTTCCACTGGGTATGATTAACAGTGAGGGAAATTGGCTCTTTTCAGATAGTCTGGAAGCTCCTCGCTCCTGAATCTAAATGTGACGGACAGCTGCCCATTCTCCTCTTGGACTCTAGGACCAGTCAGGTCTTGGAGAGCTATCAGGGGGAGTCTGAGCTTTGTTTAGAGGATGAGGTTCTCTGTGAAAAAAACAGGAGGTCCCAGATGTAGAGGTCTTGATTCTGCTTTCCAAATCATCATTTTGCCCTAAATCACCCTAAGTCTCACCTCCCAATGAGACAAAGGAAGGTCGCGCAGAGGCCCCTAGGCACGCTGGAAGCTGACCTCATGCTCCCTGAGCAATGAGATATAGGGATGCCTGTCTTGGAGCACAACAGAAGACCTTATGGCAGCAGTCCCTGAAGTTTCAGAGGGTGTAGAACCATCCAGGGAATGCAGTGAAAACACATAGGCCCAGGCCATGTCCTGCTTCAATAGCTTGCCAAAGTTTGAGAAGTGCTATGTTATTTCTACTGGGGCACTCTGTCCATAGACAGTTCTGCCTTTTCTGATCTTTTTATTCAAAGAGGAATGCATGTTAAAGGGCAAGATAGATTTTATCATTAAATTGATAAGGAAGCTTTCAGAGTAGTCAGAGTGCAATCCAATACTGTTAAGAGAATTAATATGACAGGAAGCAAGCCAGCTGCAGCACTTCAAGAGTAATGCATTATAGAATGTTCTTAATCCTGAAGTGACCCTGGCAAGTCTTTTTGGCCTTGGATTACAAGTTGGCTGATTTGTTTTTTCTAAAAGTGGTAGTTGGCAAGGGTAGGTCTGGCTGGTCCCTTCTTCAAATGCTGGACTTCTCTGACAGTTTTCCCACCTCCAGCCGTTTACTCAACAGTGACAGATCTTTTTTTTTTTTTGGTATCACTAATATACACTTACATGAGTAACATTGTGGTTACTAGATACCCCCATTATCAAGTCCCCACCATATACTCCATTATAGTTACTGTCCTTCAGCGTAGTAAGATGCTATAGAATCACTACTTGTCTTCTGTGTTGTACAGCCCTCCCCGTGCCCCCCCTACATTATGTCTGCTAATCGTAATGCCCCTTTTCCCCCCTTCTCCCTCCCTTCCCACCCACCCTCCCCAGTCCCTTTCCCTTTGGTAACTGTTAGTCCATTCTTGGTTTCTGTGAGTCTGCTGCTGTTTTGTTCCTTCCTTTTTTGCTTAGTTCTTATACTCCACAGGTGAGTGAAATCATTTGGTACTTGTCTTTCTCTGCCTGGCTTAAACAGTGACAGATCTTTTTGTTGAGTGTTGTGTTTGAGCTGGTCTGGGTGGGCCATACGACGTGGGCCATACAGATGACGATGAATCTCAGGACCTCAAATGATAGGCCTTGGTAATTGCAGGCCCCGAGCTGGTAAGTAACATGACTGTGGCTATGTGCTTAGGCAGATGAAGTTCTTTACCTCCCAGTGAACACCCCCTCTCCTGTTTCTGCACAGCCCAGCTCCTGAAAGAAGTGACTGTACTGCCTATCTTTATTTCCTCAATTCACATTCAGTCCTCAGACCTCACACTTAGATCCCTCCTGAGTGCCGGACTCCTAGTCCCTTTCTTCCTTGACTTTGACCTTGTAAAACTTGCCCTTGCTTCTTTGGCCTCTGCTGCTCACTCTCCTCTGTCCACCCCCTTCCCTCTACATGTTGCCTGGGCTCCTAGCCCTCAGTCCTTGGGTAGCATCACCTGACAAGTGCTCCCCGAATGGCAGTGCTCCCTCCTGCTGTGCTGCACTCCCGCCATGCTGCCACTTCCTCTGGCGTCAGAACATTTAAGCTCTTATTTCATGCAACAGTTGCGCATTGACCATTCGGTGTGCTAAGCCAACTCTGCTCTGCTCTCTCTTTTTGCCCTCATCTTCCCTTTGCCTTGTTTTGCCATCAGATTCTGAAACTAATTTCATCTTGCTTTGTAAACCTTTAATACTTTATGGTACAAGGGAGGTATTAAATAATGTATATGGGTGACTCCTGAATCAGAGCCAATGGCCTGGCCTCTCACTGGCAGCTGTGTTGTCTAGTACCATAGCCTCTAGTCCCATGTGGTTACTGAAATATAAATTCACTAAAATTATGTTCCTCTGCTATACTAGCCACATTTCAAGTACTCAGTAGCTACATGGCTCAGAGCTACCATACTGGGCAGCACAAATCTCTAGAACATTTCCCTCATCACAAAAGTTCTTTTGGGTAGCCCTGGCCTAGAACTTCTTAGAAGCTGTATTCCCAACTGCTTTATGTTTTCATTTGAGTGTGTCCCCAGTGTATCTCAGATTGAGCATTTCTGAAGGAGGCTTATTTTCTTCCCACATAACCTTTTCCTCTCACAAGCTTGGTACCCCCATCTCTCCAAGCACCCGAATCAGAAGTCTCAGAGCCAATTCATTAGTCTCCGTCAGTTGTCAGGTCTGTCCAGGCTGCCTCTTTAGCACCTCTGTCCTCTCCCTTCCCCTCCTGCCCCTGGTGTCTCTTACCTGGACTGTGTCCGTGACACTGCAACTGAGCTGCCTGCTCTAGGTCTCCTGGAACTTGTCCTCTGTCCGTGCTGGTCCCCAGTGACTGTTCTCAAATGTGTGTCATTGTCCTGCTTCTGTCTTTTAACAAGCCAGCAAATCCCCTGTCCACAGGAGCTGTCCAAACCTGTCAACATGCCGTCAAGGCCGGCCGTGACCTGCCACCACCTGCCCCCTCCACCTTCAGCACCCCGGGGCCCAGCGTACAGGCTCCCTGACACACCCGAATCACAGCCACATGTCAAGACCTCTGCCTTTACTCTGCCCTGTGTGGACTCATGCTCCTTCCAGACATGGCTTCCTTTCTCGAGACTCAGGTCAAGCCTTGTTCTCTCTCTGCAGCCTTTCTGGCCCTGTACCCAGGAGAGAACTGACTCTTTCCACTCTTTGCCCTTCCCGAGCCTGGCCAATCAGCTGATGACTTAGCCTTGTCTGTTTGCGAGCCTGCTGCCCCCTAGTAAGCACCTTCAGAGATAGGGGGCTGATGCTCAGTAAATGTACAAGGAAGGCAGAGGAGAAAGAGGCCCAACTAGGAAACCACTGCAGTCATGGTTAAGAAAAGGCAAGGACTAGCAGACTCACAGACTCCAAGAAGGGACTAGCAGTTACCAAAAGGGGAGGGGTGGGGAGGGAGGGAGAAGGGGATTGAGGGGTATTATGATTGGCACACATGGTGTTGCGGGGGTGGGTCATGGGGAAGACAGTGTAGCACAGAGAAGACAAGTAGTGACTCTGTGACATCTTACTACACTGATGGACAGTGACTTCAGTGGGGTATGGGGGGGAGTTAATAATATGGGTAAATGTAGTAACCACATTGTTTTTCGTGTGAAACCTTCATAAGAGTGTATATCAATGATACCTTAATAAAAAAAGAAAAGAAAAGAAAAGGCAAGGGCTAAGCCAGTGTGGTGAGAGTAGAGCTGAAAAAGTGAGGGCAAATTCAAGCCAGGTCTAGCTACAGTCTGCAGACCTGCACAACTCAACAGAAATGGGCTTATTCCAAGTCGAGGCTAAAGTTTTATTCTAAGCATTAAGAGAATGATTCATGCAATAACAGATAAAACAAGGACAGAAGGAATTGGTTTTAGAGGATAAAAACTGAACTACCCATTTAATTTTAGATAAACCAAGTTTAAAGCGCCTGTAAAATGTCTAGGTGATTGGAAATGGAACTGACACCTGGGGCCTTGGTAAAAATCAAGGCAATACACTTGACCCAACACCAGTCTTCCTCTCTCTTGCTAGAACATGAAGCTTTACATAGCACCACATGGGAGGTGAGAAAGGAAAGTACCTGACATCTGGGGCTGGAGCACAGTGGCCACTTCTTGGAATAAGATCATCCTCACGTCTGTTTCGTGCTTAGAGTCAATAGTGGAAGCCACAGAAATGTGGTTGCCAGAGAATGTAGGTAAAGATACTTGAGCCAAACTGTAGAAAGCCAATTATTGTCACGGACTGGTGAGGGAGACGTCATCCACGTCAGAGATGAAACCACCCAGAGCAGACATCTGGGACCTAGGAAGAAGAGCCAACCCCGAGCCAACCCCACTAGCAGTATCACTGGCATTGCCTTAGAGCACACAGGACAGGATACAGCCCCTGGGCTTGTGGGTGACCCGAGACCTGAGTGCAGATTCTTGGAGTCAGGGCAAGAAACCTCAGATTCAGGATCCACCCCGGGGAAGGCACTGGCAGGAACTAGCAAGCCAGAGATCTTCCTGGGATTCCACAGTGGGTCCTGTTGAGAAGCTAAAATAGCTGCTAGGGGCCTGCCTAGGAAGGCATTCAAGGTAGGGAGTCCCTGTGAGCAAGGTCACGTAGCCAGGCTGAAGCTCGTGCCCACGGGGAGTCAGCCCTGGGCTGGCACCGCAGGTCGAGGTCCTCATGCCGCTCAGGCCTGCCACTCAGCTTGCTGGCTGAGCTTCCAGAAGTTAGGCTGCTGGAGGGAGAGCGAGGACAGGCAGGGCCCACCTGGGGTGGGGTGGCAGGGGCTGCAGCCTCTCATGCACGGCTGTGGAGAGGTCTTCACCGGAGGGATGCTCAGGGCTGTCTGCTGATGGGAGCCATGTTGAGGCTGAGGTAAAGCTGCTAGTATTGGGGTTTAGGAGATAAACCAAGATTTTGGAGGGAATTATAGAAAAGGGTGGAGACAGCCAGCTTGAAAGGTGAGAGGGCAGAGGCCCTGAGTGCCAGCTGGATATTAAGTGGCTGTGAGTGGAAGGCAGGGGAGAGGGGGCTATGGAAAGTTGTCTGGGAGACCTGAGGCCTGAGTGTGTGCAGGCCATGGAAAGGTCTGTGGGGAAAGATGGACCGATGAAAGGAAGGAACACAGGGGCAGGAGGCAGTGGGATTCATAGCACAGTTGGTGGCATTTATAAACCTTTGCATCTAAGCAGAGGAAGGAAGGGGAAAATTTCTGGGCAGCAATGCCATAGAGGACAGAAGTTTTGGCAGCCTGGCTTAGTGGCCCAGGTCTTCTCTGTAAAGTGGTTGGTGATGCCATCAACTAAGGAAGATGTTGAAGACTGAGAAAAGGTAGAGGTTTGGATTGATTCCACAAGGATCCAGGGGATAAGGGTAAAGGGCTGGAGCAGCAGCCAAAGCCCAGGGACAGATGGCCAGCCAGCCTTGTTTGGGCCTTCCCCTGACCAGCATTGGCAGCCCAGAGGGACACAAGTGGTGCTGAGGCCACTCTGGCCTGTGGTTGGGGTGTCCGCTCTTGAGTTAGCCCCTGGCAGGGTGGCCTCCTTGCCATCCCAGAACCACCCAGAAGGGGATGGGAGGCTTTGGGGGCATGGAGGGGTGAGGGAGCAGATGCCAGGGACTACACAGCACTGCCGGCGGCCAGGGGAGAGGCTGGGCAGGATGGGCTGAGAGCAGAGCCAAGAAGGTGACGTCCATGCTGTTACACTTGTGCTCTTTTTAATGAAAACTTCTAAGCACATAAGGAAGAGAGAATAGTGAAACCTACATACTTGAGATCAAATTCAAGGCTGAGCATGTGTCAGGGATGGGGTACAAGTGTGAAGAAGTGGGACAGGGGTGGCAAGGTGCTGGAGGTTGAGAGATGTGGATAGTTATGTGAAGGCCCTCACGAGTGGCTGGGATAAGGGGTGCATCTGCTAAATGCTGAATGATGGCTGTGATGCACAGTTTTCTGTTAGCTTCTACCTGGTGAGAAAGGGAGATGGATTTGGGGTGGGTGACAAGAATAAAGATAGGGTGACAGAACTGCACACAGGTCTTGTGAACTCAGGAGGGAACTTGGTAATGATGGCAAGGGTGAAGGCGTGGGGGCGGCCTACAGCAGAGAGGCGGTGAGGACGTAACCACATCCATGGTCTCTCTGGCTCATTAGGCAGGGAGAGAAAGAATGTTCATCCTCGTAGGTGATATTAAGGGACAGGAGAAGCTAGTTTTTACCTACTTTCGGGGAAGCAGACAGTGCTCAACAGAAGGAATTTTGTCTGTAACAGCAGGGACAAGCAAGAGCTGATGGGCCTGAGGGGAGGGTTGTATGCTGTGGGTGGTGATGAGGATTATGAAGACTTAGGGTCCAAGAGGATACAGTGGTTGCTACATGGGTGTGCATCGGCACCTCAGGAGTCCCTATGACAACACATAAGAAATAGGGTGGCTTTTCAGTAAAGATGAAGTAACTTGTGCATTAATTCATACTATGTATCTTTGTGTATTAACTTCTGTAAGACAATCACAGTAAGTTCCTTAAAAGAGGGGTAAGAGCTGAAACAATGCTGATTAAACACTGCTGAGTCCTGTTACCAACACATCCATTTTTGATGATCTTGTGTTGGGTCTACTTAGTTTTTCTTAGATTGAGAGATTTAAGAACTGGAGTTTCTTTCTAATTGGGCCCCATAATGTTCTTCTCAAGAGTTTTCCAGAATATTTGTTAATAATTTCAGTTGTTCCAGCAATGCTTTTATGTATTGTAACCTCTGCTGACATAGAATATGTTATCACGTACCATTACAGTCTTAAGCTAATGTCTTCAAGTATTTTCTTTCTCCTTTAAAATATTTTTGGTGACATAAGCTAACTGCCTACACAATACCTAAAGCCAACCATTAGGGTGGAAGGATGTTCTTTTTAAGTCTCGATCTTTTTGTAGCAATATTATAGCACCCTAATAAGTCAGGGACACATGCTTTCAAATAAAGGTAATGTCTGAAAAACATACAAATTTATACGTGCACTTAAAAGGACATTGGGAGTTGGAGAGAGGATTCATTTTAAATTGTAAAACAAACTAGCATTTGAGAATCTGCCTAGGGCCAGGCATTGTGGTAAGTGCTTGCCATGCATTGTCTCATTTAATTCTCAGTGAGGTCATGGAGCCAGTAGTATAGTTATCCCATTTTAAAAATGGGTATCAGAAGTGTTGAGTGACTTTCCAAGAAAGGGTCACACAGCAAGTGGCACAATCAAAATTCAGTCTTAGTCTCAGCTCTCCATCGTGTTGCCAGTCAGTAACACACTGCAGGGTAAGTACAATTGCTCACATTTTCTCATAGATGCAGAAAGTGACATGCATGTGAGCAGGAAGAACATTGGAAATGAAAACCAGCGCTTAGACTTCACTGAATTTTCTCTCACTTCTTAGAGCTTTTTATCATTACATCATCAGCCATTTGTCTGTAGATGACAAATGTCTAAATGACACTTAATTTTCATATAGCAAAGAATAAAAGCTAAAATAGATTTTTAAAGATTGCCAAAATAAGTGGGAAATAGATGCTTTAACTATTATATTAATGGTCAAGCTTCTCTTGAGCATTTCCTTCCATTTGCTGCTTCCAAAGTCACATACCAATTAGAACCCAAAGTGAACTTCTTAAGCCTCATAGTCATTACTCTTAAATTGCTGACTGGCACAGTTGAGGCCATTGAGACAATTCTAGTTTTTTCCATCTTAAGGTGGTTTTTAATGTTGGTTTTGCTTGGTCTTTTTAAGAATTGTCATGAAATAAGGATGATGGGTCTGTGGTTGTTTCTAGATTGACTAGGGAACATCTGTGTCTTTATTACAGTACATTTATAAATCAATACATCATTACGCTTTGTATCACAGAATTTGAAGTCAACCCTGGTTACTATATATATGTGTGTAAGAGAGAGAAAGAGAGTAAATGGACTTAAGTGGCTTTCCAGGAAGGATGAGTCATTTTCTTAAATGGATACTAATTCAAGTGCACATGTCTGTGACTGTGTCCACCCCCTTATACTCTCCTTGTCAGCACACAGTTCTTTGGCAGTTTGCCTTGTGAGCTTGTCATTGTCTTCTAACAACAGTTATGTTTTCAAAAGGCTGGAGAGAGAGGAATTGAAAAGGAAGGCAGAGGAGGAAAGACTTCGCCTAGAAGAGGAAGCCCGTAAACGGGAAGAGGAAAAGAAATGGCAGGAAGAGGAAGAGAAGAGAAAGGTGGAAGAGCAGTTGAAGCAGAAGGCCAAGAAGGAGCTGTTGTTGAAAGAAGAGCAAGAAAAAGAAAAACAAGAAAAAGAAAAGCAAGAAAAAGCCATGATTGAAAAGCAGGTACTGTATGAGTCATTACATAGACTTTCTTTAAGGGCCTTAGTTAATATTAGGTAAAATTAGGTAAATTTGAATAATTCATAATATTTACCTGAAGTTTTTTCCCTAACTGGGCTGCTATTAAATATGAGTTACTTTGTGCAACAAAAGTCAAGTTGGTAACGTTTGCTGTATGTCAGTTTGGGTTCCTCCAAAAGCCGACCCTGGAATGAGAATTTGGGTGCCAGTACTAGTTTATTTGGGAGAAGATCCCAGGAAGCTGGTAGGGGAGTGAGAGGAGAGCCAGTGGAGGTACCCTAATGAAAGGGTTACTCTGAGGGTAACCGTAACTCCCTTCGGGACTCTCTGAGAGACTGTGGACCATGCGTTAGAGCTGTCCCTCAGAGGGCTGAGGAAACTGGGTCATTTATCTTCCAGCTCCTGCCCCTCATGGTTGAAGGTCCCTCCTTAGGGAATTAACTTCCTGAAACTCCTGGCCACATGCATACTTGATGGCCAGAGACTGTCCTCAGACACAGAAAGACTTCCTCAGATAGTGTGGAAACTGTCTGCAAGTAATTTGCATGGTGGACCAAAAGTATATGAGTGAGGCCCAGCCACATCTGCTGTGTTGTAGAGCAGGCTGAATAAATCCACACTGAATATTGGAGCAGTACCCATTTGGGGGCAGATGAAGAGCTCAGGGAACACATATGAATTCCAGAGAATTGCTACAGTGTTTTCTTAGCTTAGTTAAGCCTATGCGTTGGTTTACTTGTTTCTATCAGAAGGAAGCAGTGGAAGCAAAGGCCCATGAGGCAGCTAAACAGATGCGTCTAGAAAGAGAACAGATCATGCTGCAGATTGAGCAGGAGCGACTGGAGAGGAAGAAGGTAAGGGCTAAGGGATCAGGAGGACTTAGCATGAGGCAGGAACAGGAAGCGAATCCAGTTCTGTTCTGCAGTTGGGTAGTGTGGTCTTAGAACTATCATATTAGGTCCAGTTCATTGATAGTGCTGTTGAGATCTTCTAAATCTTTATTAGCTTTCTCTCATCTTGTTCTCAATTACTATGAGAGGAGTGTAAAAATCTCCATCTGTGATTATGATTTGTCCATTTCTTCTTCCTCTACTATCAACTTTTATTTTATATATTTTGAAACTCTGCTAAGTGAATATATATTGCAGGTTATTAAATTTTCCTATTGAATGAACTCCTTTATCATTATGAAATGTGCTCCTTTATCTTTAGTAACACTTGTCTTAAAGTCAGTTTTGTCAGCCATTTCATGATTAACATCTGCATGGTAAATTTTTTTCCATCCTTTTACTTTGAACCTATGTGTATCCTTGTAAGTGTGTCTCTTGTGAACAGCATAGAGTCAGGACTGTTATTTTAATCCAGTTTGACAGTCTCTGTCTTTTAATTGATATGTTTAGTCCATTTACATTTAATGCAATTATGGATAAGTTGGGTTTCAAGAGGCTGATTATAAAGGTCCTTTCTCATGATGTCCTAGCTTCTGCCTGGGCTTTGTACTGCTGTAGGCCTGAAAGTGAGAGACCAATCTGTGGCCTCCCCTCCTGACCTGCGCCTCAGCCTTGCTTTCTCTGGGGAGCACCACTTGAATGGCAGGTGGTGATTAGTTGATTTTTAGGTGACCTGAAGAGAGGAAGGAGAAAGATGGGATACAAATTGTATGTTGATTCTAGAGACTTACTAGTTTACTTCTAAAGTGTTGGGCCTTGTTCATAGGGCAGAGGTGTACATCTGCAAAACCCATGGAAAAAACCTCTCTGTACTCATTATCCTGGGCTGATATATCTCTTTTATAATTTTTCTGAGAAATGTGAAAATGCATATAAAGCCAGCTATTTCTATGTGCTTTTGGCTTTGTAGTCCTCTTACTTGTTTCTTTTTGGTTTCCAGAGAATAGATGAGATCATGAAGAGAACAAGGAAGAGTGATGTGTCTGCAGAAGTGAAGGTGGGCATTCAGAGTAGCATTTGAATAGTTCACATACTGAGTAGAAAAGAATGGTAAAATACATTCACTGGAATTGTAGATCTCTGAGAGGGATATCCAGAAAAAAATGGGCTCTTCTTGGCTTTGGTGCCTGAAAGAAGAGTCTGACAGGCATTTCAGGGACAGTGTGATAATCAAAATGCCTCAGAGAAATGGGGCTGGGGATGCAGGGAGAGGCACAGTAGTCCATGAATAAAAAAGAGAATAGCCACATACTGATAAGGGAAACACAGCTGATTTGTAAAAAGCCCAGAAGTTTCAAAGAATTACCATGGAACAGGCAGATGGTCCAGCACTGTTCCAAATATCCTCTGATGCTTTTCAACAGCACATATCTTTCTATGTAAAGTCAGCCTTCCCTTTGTTTTCAGAAAGAAGACCCAAAAGTGGAGCTTCAGCCTGCTGTGTGTGTGGAAAATCAGACAAAACCAGCCGTCCCAAACAAAATAGGTGAGTGTGAGGTATGGTCTTGGCTTCTTCCTTTTAGCAGAGGAGGACTTGTAGCACTTCCTGTGGGGGACAAGCACCCGTGGGTCCTAAGAGTGTTACTCCTGGAGAGGGCCTGTGCAGTTTCCCTTCCGAGGAGTCGCCATCTCCAGCACAGACCTGCCAGGTCCACTGGAAAACCACTGGCTCCTCAGTTACTCTAATAATGCTAGTACAGGAGCCAGCCATCTGCTCGTCCTTGCCACTTTCCAGGGGGTTTCGCTGCTGCTCAGGTTGTATTCAGAGCTACCTGTGCTGTTCTATGGTGGTTTCTCCTGACTGCCAGACTCCTGGGTAGGCTGGCTCGTCTCTCTCATGTATACTTAAACCTCCTTAGGTTTGATTATTTCTTGGCAGCCAAAGCCAGAAAAGCGTCTATACCTCAGAGTCACTCTTCACATATCTCCTTTGCCTTGGGGCTCAAGAAAATGCTACGCAGAGCCTGCGACCTGCAAAGTATGTGACACCAAGCCTCCTGGGTGGCTCATGAACCCTGCACAGGCACTGATAATGTCATTTGTCTTCTCTTCCCTCGTGTGAAGCTGATTACATTCTTTTTTTATGTAGATTTGCAAAAGGTGTTGTACTGTTGGTAAAGCAGAGGATTAAATTAGTTGTCTTAGTATGTATTTCCCTTGTTATTTCATTGTTTTCGGTATTTTATGATTAGCAAAATGACTTTATGTTCTCAATCAGATATCAGTGGATTGAACACCTGCCAGGAAGTTAATGGTGTGGGGCGTGCTGCCCCAGAAACCTTTCCCGGAGATGTTTTCTCTAATGGGCTTAAAACAGTTGGGAGACTTGTTCATCTGGATACCCTTGATGGAAAATCAAACAGTCTGGATGATTCAACTGAAGAAGTTCAGTCTATGGATGTGAGGTAAGTTGATTTCTTTTTCATCCAAGCTTCATCTCTTCTCCAAACACTTCCATCACTTCTTAGTTGATTGTTTCATCTTTTACACACCTGGATCACCTAAAGTAGTTTCAGTTGCCATTCAGGAATGCTCTCAGTGGTGTATTTATGTCTTGGGTTGGGTTCCCTAGAAGCAGAGCCTGGGACAGGGATTCCAGCATGTGGGATTTATCAGCAGAATGTTCCCAGGAGAAAGTGGAGGGAGAGATGCTCACCCTTCTCTCCTTGGCTGCTAATTCTCAGCTTCTTCTGGGGTGTGATGGGAAGCGAGGCTCTTTCCTAGAGCATTTAGATCAAAAATAGCCCAGCTCATGCCCTCTGGCCTTGAGCCAGATCCGTAAAAACCCAGGGTCCAACAGCCTTGCCTCAGTCTCCCCTGCCAGCACCTGGCCCCATCATGGCAGGTTTCCCTAACCAGGACCACTCTGCCCACAGGGGAAAACAGCTGAGGCACCTCAAAGACTAACACACATATTCCCCAATATTGAGCTAGCCATACTTAATCTTTGTCTCTGGCTCGAGAGGGAGGACAAAACATGGCACCTGCTAGGATTCAAGAAAGTGAAGGGACTTTGTGTGTACATTGCATTCTCCTGTGGGCACCTCTGCATCTAGAGAAAGCTGGCTCTTGGAGGTTGCACCCTGGGTTTTGCTGATACTCTGTCTCCTTCCCATGCTTGGACCTGCTGCTTAAACCCAGGGAATGGAGGTGGGGTAAGGCAGAGAAGGGGCAGTGTTTCTGCTAATGAGACAGTTAGCCAAGGCTGCAGCCACCAGAAGTGGTGTTAGGTCAACAGCTGCCCTTTAACTAGGCTCAGTGTGAGGGAGACTAATCCTCTGAGTTCTTGCAGTTCAGCTGATTTTTCTAGGTGCTTCTCTAAGAACTTATCAAGGAAGAAAAGAATAGAGGAACCTGGCAGCAGCCTTACTCAGGCTTTTAAGAGGGACTGCAGGTGACAGGACTTCACATCTCAGTCCTACCAGTCCTCTGAGCTAGGCCTGTGGTTGACACAGCCATGAAACCACTCCTTCCATCTCTAGGGAGGGGTGAGAGAATGAGAAAGAGAGAGAACCAGGCCTGCCTGCTGGGCAGGAGCTGGAGAAGTCAGGGTGAAATGGAAGTCTCACCTTAGAGAGGGAGCAGGGGGAGGGAACCACTTTGCAGAAGACAGAGTGGATGGTGGCATTCTTGTTTTCAATGGCCCCAACTTGAACTACACACTTAACCCCAGGCGACTTGACAGGAGTTCTTCCCCAGCATGATCCTATCACACTTCCAGGAGCCCCTGTGGAGAGAAATGGTTGTTCATCCTGTGGAGGGGACTGAGGCAGGGGGAGGAAGAGCAGCTCCCCAAGGGCGGCACTGCCAGAGCAGCGGCACCAGGAGCCCAGGGCTAATTAGGGCCCTTCCTCAGCTGGCTTTTAACTTCTACCATTTGCTTTCTGTTCAGGTTTCCCATTTTGAAGGTTTTGGAAGCGCTTGACTTCTCTGAAGTAGTGCGCTGGGGCCTGCAGTTTTCATTTTCACTCTTCCTGTGGCAGTGTTGAGCTTAGCCTTCCTAGGCCTGCACACTCCACTGCCCTTGTTCTGATCTGTGAGGCCTTGTGTCTATCAGCATGTCAGATTTGAACTAACCTGTATTTTTTACAATGTGTTACACACAAGCACGGACTCTAAAGCCGTCTTCTCTAGAAAAGAACAGTGTGACAAAATACTACAAATAGAATTTAAAGTTGTATCTGTCTGTCTCTCTACCTCTACCTCACCCTTTCTCTTTCCCTCCCCCAACCCCAGTCCTGTGTCAAAAGAAGAGCTTATCTCCATCCCAGAATTTTCACCAGTGAATGAAATGATTCCTGGGGTGTCTCTGGACCAAAATGGAACTGGTAATGCCCGAGCACTTCAAGATCTCTTAGATTTCACTGGCCCCCCTATGTTTCCCAAGAGATCCAGTGAAACTCTCAGCCTGGACGACTGTAACAAAAACCTGATTGAAGGATTTAACAGTCCTGGCCAAGAAAGTACTCTGAACACCTTCTGTTGACAAATACATCTCTTTAATGAAAGGTACAGTCTTTCAATGATAAGTCTAAATTCATAACTCTCCAACTGGGGTTTGTGAAGATAGGTTAAATGTCACTCAGCCTCCTGGGTGGTCAGTTTAATTTGAAAAGTGCAAAAATGAATATAAATACAGGTATCCCCCACTTTTTGAAAGTTCACATTCCATCAGTTTGCTTTTAAGAAAGACCTACGTGAGTACCTGTTTTTGCTAACTTAAAAGAAAAGTCAGTGAGGATTTTTGCTTTTATGAAAAAAGGTGGAAAGCAAAAGCAGCACTGAGCGTCTGTTTTGCAGCGAGCTGTTAAGAGGCAGCACGCGCCCCCGGCAGCGAGAGTGTGGCCATCAAGCTCCTTCCCCAGGAGCCACCCTCAGCATCTCAGCATTAGGCCACCAGAGCTTTGAACTGTCTGTGAGCATCTGTACTTTAACTCAATTTATTTTGTGCATCTGTGAACAAGATGTGTCCTCAAATGTCAGAAAAGCCTAAGAGGTTGAGGTTATTTTTTGGGTCTGGGGATGCTAAAAAATTTTCCCATATAAATTAATGGGAATTGCTTCTTTGCTTATGCCATTTTGGCTTATGAAAAGTTTCATAGGAATGCTCTTCTTGAAAGTAGATAGTGTGGGGGGGAGCCTGTATGTGGTATATACTGCAGCACACACTGAGGTGGATTTCAGGTAAATCCTTCAGCATCACACCCTGCTCTGCCCGCCCCTGCTGTTTGGGGTGTGTGGATGGAGTGTGTGTGTTGAGAAGCACTGGCTTAAAGTATAACTGACAATCTGTCTCAGTAGCACCCTTTTTGGAGGCAAAGAGAAAATGTTCTAGTAGTGGTACAAGGCAGCATTCATAAAATTAATCTCTCCCCTAGTTTCACCCAGTGACATCCCACATTCTGTCTAGAATCATTTGAATGCATTGATGGGTGTTAGTCAAATGATTTGCTGTTCTATTGACCCCGTTCTGGATTCTTTCAAAGCGAACATCTGTTCTTGGATCATACCTGAGGGATTGAGGTGGGGAAGAACTGAATTTTGTGCCCTGAAGCTTTTGTTCTCCAACTTTGGCCTTTTTTCTTGCCAAAGTACTTCTAGAAGCTCTTCTCATTTGAGTAAGTTGTTTCCATGGGTTATAAACACACATTGGATTTACTTTTTTGGGGCTTGTTTTTGAATGATGAAAACAGAATTTATCATCAAATCCTTTCCTAATGTAGTAATCCCAGTCGCTCCTCCCACTTTGCACTCTTAAAAACATTTTATATTCTCAGCATTCTTTCGCTTTTTTAAATGATGCTCCACTTCTCTAACAGAACATCAATGCCTGATATGATTGTGTGTAACCTTTCTATTTCTCAAATGAGCAGTTTAGGGAGGCCACTTGCCCAATGTCACTGTGTTTTGTATACTTACTTCTGCCTGACCTCAGCTGTTGGCTGTGGACAATGCATTTTAGAGTTTGTTTCTCTTGGTACTTGGGAAAGCAGTTGTGGTCCTTTCACACGTGAGAGGAAATGTGTGACAGGTAGTTCTAGAATAAGCCATAGGCCTGGTGGAAGAGTAGCCGCCTTCCTTCTTGGACATAAAAAAAAACACACACAAAAAAACAGTTCACCTGAGTGTTCTATTTCCCTGACAGTTACATCGTTTTAATATTTAGTATGAGTTTTCTTTTGTTGTTAGTGTATCTTGAATCTTCCAGTTCACTGACTCCACTATCCAGTAAGGACCAGAAAATCCACAAAACTTAGGAGAGTATTAATGGCTCAGCAAGTCCATTCCCTACATCTCTAGCTAAAAGATTAGTGCAAAAATCCTTATCAAAAAAGAAGAAAAAATCTTGACCAAATAATTTTGTTCACCTGTTTGTATATTTTCATTTGTCATATACATAGTCTAGTCTTCAAATTCTTCTCATTCGGAGGTGGTACCTCTACCACTGGCAAGGCGGGGAGGCAGAGGGGGCATTTGGAAATGTGTTGGGGATTTTTGTTGTCACAATGGTTGGGGACAGCCCTGGCATTGGAAAGCAAAGCTTGGGACATCAAACATCCTTCAGGTTTTAGGGCAGCCCCACGCAAATAATACTCAGCCCACCTAAAAGAATAGTGCTACACAAAATGCTGTAACCCTTCCATTGAGAGAAACTGTGTGAGCCGAGGAAAATATGATTACCAGGAAGGTAGAGAGTCCCATGCTGTGTCGTTTTAGTGATATCGTTTTAGTGAGAGCGAATAAATACTACAAATTGCAAAGCAGTCTCTTCATTGATCTCACCTGGTTTTGTTTTTGAATTGACACAGGTGGTGTTTGGAGAACCCGTGAAGCTGCTGGCAGTCAAATCCGAGCTGCCAGCCCTCTGAAGAAGCTTCTGTCATCCTTTACCACCAGATTCCAAATTATTAGAACAAAAAGTAACTGTATTCCTAGTTAGTATGTCAAACAATGGCCACTCTTGGTAGAAACCTTGAGACATTGGTCTTGTCTGGCTTTAGTAAAGTTTCACGTTCTGGTTCTATTTATGAGCTTCAGCTGCTGGCCAAGCGCTTCCTCTACTCCTCTATCATCATAGTGGTCCTCCTAACAACCCAAGTGATTCCAGCTTGGAAATACACCTTATAACTATTCTTATTCCCAAAGTTGGAACACATAAACATTTAGACGTCTTTCCTGTAAATAGTCTAGACATTTACCCAGATTCTACTTAAACATATACTGGACTTGGGCTGCATGTCTCCCTGTCTGTTCAGAAGGAAGAGAAATTGCAGAGGGTTTCCCTCCCCCCTTCTGGGGTTTCTTGGTTGGAAGTTACTTTCAGGAATCCATCTTTTATTAATAAGCTTAGCCACTAGCAAAATACGTTGCCCCACATTACTCCTTTGGGGCTAACAGTAAGTCTGTGTAAGGAAGCCATTGAACAGTGTGGAATGGTTTCTGCTCTCTTAATGCACATTCTTATAGACATGGCCTCCTGAATCTAGCAAGGGCCTTTCCATGTTGCACCTTGAAATCTCTAAGCTGTGGGCACTCCGGTGGCTTTTGGACTAAATGAATGGTGTGTCTCACACACAGGTGGTTGGTTTTCATGTTGTTGCTGTTGTTTTTCTCTTGGATCTTGAGGCTTTTGTTTGTTTGCTACAGTGTTTGCTCAACTCTAATAAAACCAGGCACAGATGAAAATTATAGTGCTCTGAAACAAGGGGGCCCTGAACTGGACCCAGTATGTCACTTTAATAGACTTTAGCCTAAAAACATCTGACTGGGGGACAAATGACGCTAGAATGTATACTCCACATTTTATGCCATATAATGTGTTAATGTCATTTCTTGTGATGAAATGTGACTTTCAGATTAAAATGATCTTTTCTTATTTGAAAAGTTTTTTGACATGTACAATAAAGAGTTTAGAAAGATCCATAATTCTGACTGAGGTTTGCAACTAGGAAATATAAAGAAGTTTCAATAGCAGTCTTGTTCATGTGCTTTCAAAACCAGCTACAGTTTAAGACTTTATTAGCTATGGAAACTGTATGTTTGTGTATGTGTATATACTAAATAAAATACATGTATCCAATAGCACAGTGCCATCAAGCTTGATGAATACTGGGGGGAAATCCCTTTTATGACAAGCACACAAAATGATAGCATGGTCTGACTTTCAAACAATGCCTCACCATCTTCCTACAGCTTTATTTTGCTGAATGCCTGCTTTGTTGTGACCTGTTGGATCTCACAGAACATTGTGATCGTGGTGAGGCCTCATTTGCATGATGTGTACATTGTGTTCAATGTGAAATACATTTTCAGTGAAGAGTCTCATGGTGTGCTAGTGTTTTGTTTGTTTCTGTAGGCTCAGTGAGGAAATGTGCTGAAACTAAACCATATTTTTTAAAACTTGTGGGAAAAAAACCCAAATCCTGTGTGGGTGTCCTTTCCCTGTCAAACTCATTAAAATTCCTCTGTTGTCAGTTCCAAGTGAAGCCAACTGTGGAAATAAGCTGAAGAGATGAGCTGTCCCTAGGCTTTGATGAACTTCTAAGTACAGTAAAAGTGTCTGTACTTTCATACTACTGATGTGAGGGATTTCTAGCTAGTTAACATGCAGCTTAGCCTTAGTGTAATGTACGAAAACATTCCGTACAGCAGTCTGACATTTAATGAAATTATATTGGGAATGGCGACCCTTACTTTCCAACAAGCTGAAACACAGACCAGCTTTGTTGTATCTAATTCACAGCTTGTCTACAGCCTGGGAGACAATAGTAGCCAAGACTAGGAGCCAGGGGCCAGGACTGGCATAGAGGTGTTAGAACCGTCGTGGTAACTGCTGGGCTGCCATCTCTAATGCTGAGGCCCCCCCCTGTTCTGCTGACAAGGCCTCTGATGCAGGCCCAGGAGTGGACATCCTAACAATTTTATATGCTGGTTTGGCAGTGTAATTACAAGTAGTTTCTGCCACCAGGAGCTCTGGCCAGAGGGTCACAGTTGTGGCCACTCACTCCTAAGAGCAATTTCTAGGTTGTGACCATTCTAAATTTTTCTTAGTATGTATAGGGTTCCCATTAGTTAAATGCTTTTGTAAACTCAGTTTAGGAAGCCAGTGTAAAGAACTCATCTGTTTCTAGAGGTATACCCACTACACTGGGCCACAGCACAGGGCGGGCTCCATTCCCACCATTCAGCATCATACAGAAAGCACAATCACGCACAAAAGTGGAGCAAGAACTCTTAGAAACATTAGAAAAGAGAAGCCTTTACAGGCAGCCTTTTTGGGGAGAACCCAAGAGAAACAACTGAAAAACTCTTAGAATAATTTCACAGGGGAGCCAACTACTAAATAAAGAAAAATCAACAGTTTTTTACACATTAACAATACACAGGAACTAGATCCCAACAAAACCTGTAAGATTCCTAGAAATACCGAGTTCTATCTCAAACTTGACTGGGAGACATTAGAATAGACAAAAACGGAAAGATCTACACATGGGAAGAAAACTAATAATAGTATGCAGCCTTCGCATTTTGCAGTATTTGTAAATAGTGGGACTTGTTTTTTGCAACTTGAAAATAGAATTGTACAGTTTATGTGAGAAAATGAACACAAAGCTAAGAAACATGAGTTTTTTAAAAGGGGAAATTTCCCCCAACAAATAGTAATTTTCATAACTAAAACTATATGTAGTCTGATAGAGAAATAGACAATTTGTAATCAATCAGCAACATACCCAAGAAATGTAGGAATTCAATGTATGATGGGGCCAGGGATGGGCCATTTGTTCCACTAGAGAGAGAGCACGTGGTGCAGTGTCCCCTGAGGGTCGCCTGAGGTTAGCCTCTCTGATGCGATGGGAATCAGGGCCCAGAAGTCAGTGCAAAAATGATAAAGACAGGAGCAAGGTCCAAGGTGTGGCTGCCAATTATGGTCAATGTTTAATTAAGGGAAATATGTAGAGAGGAGGCTTGGTACCAGCTTCTAAGCATCCTGAACCGATGCGTCCCCACCTTCCTCTCCCCGGGATGTGTGGAGATCTCGGGAGGCAAGGAGCAATGGCCTCTTCTCACTGTTTAAGCTTCTCTTTCAGGAGTGGACCTTAACAGCACACCCTGAGTTTCTGCTGTACGAAGGGTGATCCTAAGACCTCTCTAGGCTATGAGGTACGTAGAAGGTTACTTTCCCAAGGACATGCTGCTGGAACTTGGCAGAGCTGGTGTGACTCCAAGGTCCCAGCTTTGGTACCCCCAGGGCAGTTGGCAGGCTCTTCTGCCCCTGAGAGCCACAGAAGTGTTTTTGCTAGAGCAGGTGCCTATATCTGGGAAGGGCCAGAACCCCTGTGGGGAATGCTGGTTCTGGGTGTGCTTTTGTTAAAACTATTGAATGTTAACTATATTTCAGTTTAAAAGAAAAACTATTCAGATAATCACATGCCATAAAAAATCCCCCTTTTAAAGTATTCAAGTCCATCTTTGATTTAGTCATGAAGTTGTACAACCATTACCACTAATTCTAGAATTTTTTCATCTGAATGTGCTTTTGCAAGGGTTTCTTATCCATCCATCTACTCAAAGCAGCAGAGCAGAACTTGGCTTTATCATTAGTTCAAGTTGCCATTGTACCTGGAAGCAAGAACATGGGATCTGAAAATAGTCCCCAAATCAGTCACTTGCCCTACTCCCCCCTTCTAATAGGCCAAGTTAGGGGGGTGTTTATGTAACTTGATTTATGTGGGCTGTTAGGTGGGGTTTTACATATGGGGTTTCACATAAATATTGGATCAAATACCAAACAAAGGCTCATTTATCAGATGCCCAAGCATGGGACTTCTTGGATAATGAGAGACATAGAGTGGGTGAAATTGATTAAAACATTTTGAAAATCCAGAATGTTTGGAGACACGGCTTCAACAGTGACCATCAGATTGCACAGGGCACTGGGTGGCTCTACTTGCCCTGTGTTTCTGGAACAGGTGGCTTGTATTAACCAGGACGGAGGGAGCATTTCCATCCTTTTTTCTTGTTTTGCCCCTGAGGTCCAGGTCAGGGTACAACACAGTGACCACTCTATGCACTGTGGAAAGAAATCACCCCTTCTACAGCTCAGATTCTGAGGGGCAACTTACAAAAGACAAAGGGAGCTTATAGGCTTCAGATGTCTCCCCTGGAGTATTCACTCCCCACCTCTCCCTTCAACTCTTCAGTAAATGAGGAAGAAGCTTCTGTGAGACAGCTAGGAAATGGCACAGCTTGATCATTCCAATTGGTACTGAGGCTTGATTGGTGTTAAGGGCAAGGTCTAAAGCAGCCATTTTTCCCAACTTCCAAGAAAGTATTAATTAAGGCAGCCTTTCCCCATCTCACCTTTGCAAAATGCAAAGAATAGAGTTCCAAGGAATCAAACCTTTACGTAAAGTAACTTCTCTTTTGAATCTTAGCCAACAGCCCTCTGTTGGCGGTACTCTCCTTTTAGTCATGTTTTCCCAGTAGTATGTGCAGGCTTACCGACCAGAATATTGTCAACAAAGATGTGACAGCTAGGAAGGGGCTAAGTCATGCACTGTAGATGTGTGGAGAGCTTTTTGGATTGAATGCAGTTGTCCCACGGTGGGACTCAAAGGTTGTTTTAGAACAAATGGAATCATATTGGTACCACTGGGAGGAAAGAAGACATTCCATTTGCTCAGTGGAGCTGGTCTTCTGAAGGTTTCTCAGGGGCCACCTCTGTGGGGTGACAGCCTTGATGGCTGGTATGAGGTGTTCAGTGTTCATCAATGGTAAGAAATTAATCCAGAACATGGAAATAAAGCCAAAAGATAACTGCACGCCCTTTCAAAGCCCTGCTAGAGTGTGGTCTCAACATGGCAGGCCAAGGGTTTGCTGAGGCTTGGAGGATGTAACTTGCTGTGACTGAGCATGTACTGTTGGCTAGGACCCAGTCTCCGGAATTATTCTCTGGTAGAAAGCTGTAGATTACTTTTGTCCTGTATAAAAGCTAGCTCCAAAGGTTATGTCTGTCCCTGTAAGGCACTAAACAGTTTTGTATCTGACATGGCAATCTTAATTCAGGCACTCTTTTCCCCACTAAATATATGTTGTAAGATAAATTCTAGTGTAAGATAAATTTTAACCAAAATAAGCAGGCGACGAGAGGCAACAAAGGGCCAGGCAGTTTATTTGAAAGCAATTCCCGGGTGATGTTCCTCGGTCTGAAACACAGGCCAGGAAAGTCACACCTGGTCAGGGAGGTGGGGGCTTATAAGGGGTTAGGAGGGGGAGGAGTGGGCAAGCTATCCTAGGGGGCATGGAGACGTATGATTGGCTAAAGGTGACATAATAGACAACTAGAAACTTTTTTTCCTTCCAAGAGGGAGGAGGCTGACATCCGGGTCTTAGTTGGCACATCAAAAGGATGGAATTCAGGAAGAGCTGTCCCCTTTCCATATAAGGCACGGACATGGGGTCTGGTCTGTTCTCCTTTTATGGTATCTCTCTGTTCTGTTTGCATGTCCTTGTTTTTCATTCCTCCAGCCTAACATTCCAGCCTTTTGGCCATAATGGGCGATGACTCGATCTGGCTACTTCCGGCTGACAAGGGGCGTTGTGGGGATTTGAGGCTGGTATTAGGCCGAAGGAGGGGTTTAGTGGGAAGAGGTGCATAACGGTGAAGTAACATCTGGTTGGTGGCAACCCAGGTCATCTGGGTTAGCTGCTGTTGGAGGAACCTGAGGACACAAGGGGCAGCTAAGAGTAAACCACAAACTGTTATTAAGGGGCCCAGTAGGGGCATTAGCCAGGTCATTATGGGGAACTGGAATTCTGGATCCAGTTTACATCTCAATGACTAGTATTAGGATTTAGAATAGATAAGACTGCATTATTGAAACAATACTTTTCTCTAAAATCACCTTCATTTTTATTAGAAGTAGCCAGATTAAGAAAATAATTAATAGTTGGCTTGATTATTTGCATAAGCGCATCAAGAAGAGCAATTGATTACGTAGGCTCTTTTAAATATGCTTTGGTGGAACTTTTTATAAGGAATTTCAGATTGGACTTCTAAAGGCTTCTTGAGGCCAGAAAGCCAAGCTAGACTTGCCTTCAGGTTTTGCCTGCAGTACCTGTAGATTTGGGTGAATTCCTCTCTTCTTGAGGTTCCTGCACTTGCCAGGAAGTGGCCTTCCTTACTCACCTGGTAAAGCTGCTGGGAACCCTGTAAGCAAGGTACTAGGCCAGTTCTTCCAAGGGGCTTTGTTGGCTTTATAAAGTCAGTCAATCTTAGTTCCTTAAAGCTGTCTGTTCATATCTGAGTTTACA